CTGAAGCTAACTTTACTGAAGCTAACTTTACTGAAGCTGACTTTACTGAAGCTAAGTGTACTGAAGCTAACTTTACTGATGCTAACTTTACTGAAGCTAACTTTACTAATGCCAACTTTACTGAAGCTAACTTTACTGAAGCTAACTTTAGTGAAGCTAACTTTAGTGAAGCTAACTTTACTGTAGCTATCTTTACTGAAGCTAACTTTACTGAAGCTAACTTTACTGAAGCTCACTTTACTGAAGCTAACTTTACTGAAGCTAACTTTACTGAAGCTAACTTTAGTGAAGCTAACTTTACTGTAGCTATCTTTACTGAAGCTAACTTCACTGAAGCTAACTTTACTGAAGCTGACTTTACTGAAGCTGACTTTACTGAAGCTAACTTTACTGAAGCTGACTTTACTGATGCTAACTTTACTGAAGCTAACTTTACTGATGCTAACTTTACTGAAGCTAACTTTACTGAAGCTAACTTTACTGATGCTAACTTTACTGAAGCTAACGTCTGTCATTGTTTATAATCGTAATGTTGCGCCGTCATCGAGTGTTTTGTACCAGACTGCACACACACGAGCAGCGGATCTCGCTCGGTGTTTCGCTTCCCGGGAGATGTAGTTCATTGAGTGATTTACACATAAAACTAAATGTTACTCTTCTGTTTTATGACAAACTGTGACTTTCTTGACTTTCATAATTATCTTTTAAATTGACAAACATCATATGTGTAATTCAGGGCACAGTTCAGACGGAATAAAAAGATAAGTTGTCTCTCTCCATTGACTACCATACACATTTTTTCAGAAATAAGGTCCCGTGAGCCGGAAGCGGAGGAGAGGGGCTCAGGCTCTCTATTGCAAAAACATTGACTTTATTCCAATGAGTCATGGTTACATTTGACTCGAAACACTGCGTTGTGAAGCTTTGAATCCTTTGTGAATCATTTAATTTGAACCAGTGATTCAGAGTCACATCATAACTGATCTGTGTGAACCCATGAACCAGTGTCTGTCTAAGGTTTTTACCACATCAATGACACATTTGTATAATTAAAATAAAGTATATTTTCTCTTACTGGCTTAATTTACCAAGCACTCCATAAACAAAACAAGCCCAAGAATTTAATAAAATAACATAATATTATACAGACACTTCACATTTAAGGGTATAAGACCATTTGTTAATTGCATTTCATAGATTACACTTTTAATAAAACATTTGCAATTGATTTGTAAAAGATGTTTTTATGTTACACTGTTTTTGAACGGGGTTATGATGTAACAAAACTGCATTTACTGAAATCATGTGACTTTACGTGCTCCGAATCACTGTTTCGAAAGAATTGATTCGCAAACGCTTCAAAGCTCAAATTGATTCAATTGATTCAAAGCTTCGAAAATCTTTTTTCCTCCCATCACCTTCAAATGTTTGTGCCATTAAACCGAATGTGTTGTTGACGCTAAGCTATTTAACTGTTATATAGCGCCTCTTGTGGCAAGACTGAGAATGCAACCAGTACAGCGTTTCAATGCCATCGATCTACCAAATCAGACATCTAAAATTTAATTTCACCAATCTCAGATGGAGGCAAAGGTCATAGAAGGTCAATGTAAAACATGAAATGTTATCAGCATCACAATGAATAGGGCGCATTACACATCTCCCGACTATACAGCGCATAGAGCTTAGCTTTTCCAAAAATGATTGGTTTTATCATTGTAACTGTGGGCGTATAAAACTTAATAAACGCCTCGACCAGAAACAACCTGAAATTTAGTGCACAAATAGCACAGAACATAATTGCTACGTGGTTAAGTTTGCTTGAGGAAGAAATGGGAATAAAATGGCAGTCCATCACGCTGGTGTCATTAAGTGGAGATTTATTGACTCGCACACTCTATATTCACCCGCTCGATGGGTGTCAATATAGAAATGGGATCTCGAAATGAAAGAATGGTTGATTTAATGCATTGTGGTAGCTAAAGAAATTGCATGCATAGATTCATACGGCTGCAGAACGTCTGTCATCCATTTTGTGCTGGTGCCTGATGTCCATTTTAAGTGGCTTCTTTTGTAGAGAGCCATTAGAAGAATGACCAGAAAAGTTTCATTTCAACTCGGCCCTGTTATTGCACTGGATTCCAGTTTCAAACTGAGTTTTAAAATCAAAAAGACTGAAATGTTACATAAAGCCCTGTTATATAAAAGAGGACACTGCGTTTTGTTTAAAAGCTTAGAGGTGAATCTCACAAAAATCTGTCCTGTGATATTTTAGTATTATTTATATACTTTTATAATATTTATTCATGTTTTGAAATAGCTTTTATTTTTATATTTTCAGTTTTCATTTTAATTTAAATTTGTTACATGCTTTTGTTTAAAAAAAAAAAAATTTAGCTTCAATTATTTATTTTTTCAGATTTAGTTTTATGCATGATGTTAACTTCAACTTTATTATTATATATATATATATATATATATATATATATATATACACACATTAAAACATATATATATATATATATATATAATGTTTTAATATACATATACATACTATATGTGCGTGTTTATATATATATATATGTTTTAATGTTTTAATATACATATACATACTATATGTGCGTGTATATATATATATATATATATATGTGTTTTAATGTTTTAATACACATATACATACTATATGTGTGTGTTTATATATATATATATGTTTTAATGTTTTAATATACATATACATACTATATGTGCGTGTATATATATATATATATATATATGTGTTTTAATGTTTTAATATACATATACATACTATATGTGTGTGTTTATATATATATATACACTATGTATATGTATATTAAAACATATTCAACATATACATATACATATTCAATACAATGAAAATAAACTATAATATTATATAGTTATGTTTATTAGTGCTGTCAAATCTATTAATTGCTACTAATCGCATTTAACATAAAAGTTTGTTAATATATAATTATATATATATATACAATTACAAACTTTTATGTTAGATGCGATTAGTAGCAATTAATAGATTTGACAGCACTAATAAACATAAATATATAATATTATAGTTTATTTTCATTGTATTGAATATGTATGTTTTAACATAGTGTGTATATATATATATTTATATATATATTAGTGCTGTCAAATCGATTAATTGCTACTAATCGCATCTAACATAATTACAGTGAACTATAATTCTATTTAGCACAGTTTAAGAATGAGATTCACTCTTATAGAGGGATTCCAGTGTTGTTTGGGAGCCGTCCTGTACATTTCTTTGCTTTATGAGGGAGTTTCCACAGATGGCAGGTTTGACGACTCTCCTGATATTTCTTTATAGCCCTCAGAGTCTGTGTTAAGCAACAAAACAGCAAGTAATGAGCTCTGGATATGAGGAGGAGGAGAAGAGCGTAATGGACGAACAAAGAAGCCACTGACAGAGAGAATTTACCCACAAACCCTCAATGGCACCGACTCTGACAGACTGATGCGTCCGCATCATCATCCGCATCATCATCCGCATCATCTCTCGCTCTTACGACGCAATTAGAGGATCGTTAGTCGAGACAAAGGCCTGATGTGGTCAGTTAGCTGTCTGTGGGCTTCATTCATCTAGTCATTCAGTGACACTCGACCAGAGACGCTATGAGGACGAGGACACCTGTCACTCAAACTAACACACTAAAACAGCCAATCACATCAGCCGAAAATATGCATACACATAAACGTTAAGTGATAAATATAACCGTAGGGATTCATAAGTCACAGCAAACTGAAGATGCACAAGCTGTACTCTCCACCAGAAGTTCTCCTGGAAATACCAAATATGGAGCCTTTTTAATTATGCAAAACCTCATCTGCATATCATTTGCATATGCATCTGATGATTCTACTGTTTTTATTGATGCAAGATACTATATTCTTAATTAGTATTTTCTTGCTGTAAATGCATATTTTAAATTATATAATTTATATATAAATATTTAATAAATAATTAATAAAATAAATATTGACACACAATATTAACAGTTATATTAATATTTTTTTAATTATCAATAATTATGAAATATTAACAATTTCTACTGAATTATACTATATGCATGAACTGAGCTAAAGACGTCAAATTTATGATACATGCTAAATTTGAGCTTGCAAGTTATTAATAGAGATTAAAATGCTATTGTTATGCTTATAGCATAGTGCACACACAAATGTCAGAGTTTAACTTATATTGATTATTTTCGGTACTGATTAAGATATTATTTATAAAAAGACTTCATATGCCGTCTTAGACCTAGATCTCACTGCAGTGCATTATGGGATTTCTATTGATACAAAAAAACTAGGACAAGATACAGACTAGTGATATTCTTAATTAATATTTTCTGCTGTAAATACATATTATAAATTATATAATTTAGATATAAATAATACTTAATAAATAAAAATAAATATTGACATACAATATTAACAGTTAAATGAATTATTTAGTTATCAATAATTATGAAATATTAACAATTTCTGCTAAATTAATAAATGTGAATTTAACAACTATATGCATGAACTGAGCTAAAGACGCCACATTTATGCTACATGCTAACTTTGAGCTTGCCAGTTCAAGTTAACAGAGAATACTAGACTAGAAAATAGACACGCTAACACCAAACAATGCTATTGTTATGATTATAAACAAAAATGCATAGTGCACACACACAAATGTCAGAGTTGAATTAAATTGATAATTTTCGGTACTGATTAAAATATTATTTTCTTAGTCTTAGTCTCGTCTTAGATTTAGATCTCACTGCAGTGCATTGTGGGATTGCCCGATCCACAAAGGATAAATGTGATCTTATAAATCCACGTAATTAGTTTGTAACAGCCTTGCGAACCCATGACGCCTAACAAAGCATGTAGTCTGCGTAGGCAGCGCACTAGGCCTGGATCTCGCTGCAGTGCATTGTGGGACTCACCGAGGGCATCTGGCTGGACAGCAGGTGCCCGTCCTGCGCCAGCATGTTGGACATCATGAGCGCGGGCAGCTCGGGGTACGAGTACGGGTTGATCAGGCCGTTGTGAGGGATGGAGTGACACAGGTAACTGGACTCGGGGTCCATCAGGTGCAGCAGGTGAGGCTCGGGGTGATTCGGGGGGGTTATCGGGGGGATCTCGTAGTCCTCGTCTCCCCCCCCTCCGCCGTTCCCGCTCCCCCCGCCGTGTCCTGAGTAATTCTGCTGCGGGAACACAGAGAGGATCACTACATCTTTATAGCGGCTTTTGTGGCGTTTGCTCGTCAGATTGAATATCATCAAAATTGAATAAAATAAATTGCAACCGTTCCGTTCAAACAAAATAGATAAATACAATAAAACTTGTTTAAATACAACAAATTAAAAATAAACTTGAAAAAATACAACTTATAAATACACATAAAATAAATTCAATATAAATAATATGAATTCAAACAGAATGAAAGAATATAATAAAATAAATGACAACTTAAATTAAATAATAAAATAAAAATGTATGTTTAAATACAATTTATATATATATATATAGTCTATATACAAAATTAGAATATAGTGCAAAAGTTCATTTATTTCAGTAATTCAACTTAAAAGGTGAAACTAATATATTATATAGACTCGTTACATGCAAAGTGAGATATTTTAAGCCTTTATTTGTTATAATTTTGATGATTATGGCTTATAGCTCAATTATACACAATTAATATATCACAATTATAACAAATAAAGGCTTGAAATATCTCACTTTGCATGTAACGAGTCTATATAATATATTAGTTTCACCTTTTAAGTTGAATTACTGAAATAAATAAACTTTTGCACCATATTCTAATTTTTCGAGTTTCACCTGTATATAAAAAATGTTCAAATAAAATAATAAAATAAAACTTTCATTCAAATAAATTAAATAAAATGTTAAAAAAAAATGATATTTTTTGTATTGAATTTATTCTATTTATATTTTTAAATTGTATTTGTCTTTTATTCATTTTATTTTACATAAGTTGTAATTTATCTTATTTGTGCATAAGTTGTATTTTGTTCACATTCAAATACAATACAAATATAACTATGTTAAATTAAAATATTTTATTTTTATTTTTCAAATACAATTAATAAAACCAAGTCTGATCAATCCCAAAGCTTTCTGTAAGTATGATGAACAACAGTAGACACGATGCTTGCCTAATTACTTTGTGAAGAGAGGCATAAACACAATTATATAAATATTATGCAGTTAAACAAGTAAGAATCACATTTTTGGACGCGTATGAGTTGGCAGCTTCCGATCTGGCTTCACGGAAAGTTGCTGGAAATACGGCATTATCACAATCAACTTTTGGAAGCGCAGACCATGTTTTCATAGCGCTAAAGTTTGCGATTGGCTCTCGTGTTTTTTCTCGTTGCCATGCGTCCATATCAATACTCATGTCTCTCATCAGCCGCGTCAATCTAACTTTGGACCTGACAGAGGAAGTATGCGAGAGAGAGAGAGAGAGAGAGAGAGAGAGAGAGAGATTGCCAGGGTATTCAAGAGGGAATGAAAAGCAATTCTGTAGGAGGCGATCTGACTGGAGCCCCGTCCATAATGACTGAGTCAAATTAATCATCAGAAATAATATTCCGCTGTCAACCATTCAAGAGCTTTTTTAATAGAATTTTTATGATTCATGTCTGCCCGTATACATCATACAGTCAGTTCTGCAACATTTCAGAAATCAATTCAATATCATCTTTGTGTTGCCTGTCATCTTCGCCTGGAGAACGGCCATTTATCTTGCAAACAAATACTTTTAGCAAATACGCGGCCGTGGAGAATGAGAGACAAGGATTGTGGGACCTCAGATTTCACCTTGCCACGGTGCATTACTCAAATCACAAACTTCTCCTAAATATATATCATCTGTCCGAGCGTCTCCACTTGAAGGCTAAAACGCTACATGGTATTTTAAGAAAGAGACTTACTCACTCAGAAGAACATTTTCATTCCTTACAGATTACTCTTTCATTGCTCACGAGACCTGTAAAGCTACTGAATGTTATTTGAAACATGAAAACATGAATATCTAAAGCCTCGAAATGATCAAAACTTTTTGATCGCACTCAATCTCCTCCCGTCCTTCTGTCTCTGAGTGACAGTTTACACTGTTTTAGCGAGTAAACGTCTTTTAGTTTAATTGCACAAACGTCCTTCAGCTCGAGCTTCACGTGTCTTTATGATCTGAAACGTAACTTTGATATTGTTAGTAATATTTCAAATTTGTTTGCTTGATTATCCATACGTCATTTATTCTTTACAGTATCAAATATGATCATCAGGTTTATTTGTTCATCTCTCAATCATCATTGTATTGCATTGCGTTACATGTTTTAAAACTTTGACCATAAAACTAAGCATTTAAATATCATCTTACTAAGACATATTACTGGCAGATATTGATATTGATATGCATTTTATACTGTTTTTGCATATTTTGAGCCTCTAAATATAAAACTGAGCTGTTTTTCCTCCTCGAGTTTGAGCTCTCACTATATATGAGCCATAAAAGCCTGAACATTATGTTTCATGCAAAGATGTTTCTCCCGAAAAAAATCACAGTTTGAGACATTACAGTGTTTTTCTGAGGAGAACAATCTTCCCGATGATTTGGTTGAAGATATAACCCGAATAAGAAAGATCTCAGTGGTGATTTTGGCTCAAAGATGAGCAGCGTAACACATCTGAGGTCGCTCTATTCTCCGTTCGGTCTCGCCGTGAACATGCGCTCGTGTTGCCGGGCTGGATATTAATCTTCCATATACTTCTGCGGGCCTTTGAAGACAGATGTCTTTGTGGGCTTCAGGCCTCCCCTGTTATTGTCCGCTCTAATGGATGTGAAAATGAACATTTCCTGAGATTCAATTTCCCTCATAATTGTTGGAAGGAAACTAAATTGTGTGTTGTAAACAGTGGGGCGAGCAGCTATTGTGTGAAGAGAGACTGTCGTCGAGTCCTCAGGAGAATTCTCCAACAGAACGATCACACATTCACCTCTTTAAACGTGGGATGAGATGAACCTCGTCAGTGTCAGCTGATGCAGAAACTGATAACATAAAGACCTCATAACAAAACTACTCTGATCATGCCGGATGGTGATACCGTGGTACTTTGACACTGTACACACTGAAACAAAACAACATGCTGTGGCCATACAGTAATACTTTAAAATATACAGCAGTCCAGTCCTGCAGTCCACGAAATACCACATTAATACAATGTTACACAAAATACCACAGTAATACTATGGTGCACATCTTAAATACCATGTTAATACCATTGTGCATGTCCAATACTATGGTTAAACCATGGTACACATCTAAAATGCCACAGTGATACCATGGCAATTTCATGGTACATGTCCGAAAAAAATATGGTAGAACCATGTAAAATTACCAAAATACCACAGTACTACCACAGTTCACATCAAACATACCACAGTAATATCATACATGTTCACAGCCATGTGGTGCATTTCTAAAATGCTGTGGTAGTACAATGGTAAATGTCCAAAATACCACAGCAATACTATAGTAAACATCCAAAACGCCATGATAATATCATGGTGCATGTACAAAATACTATGGTAAAACCATGGTACACATATAAAATGCCACAGTGATACCTTGGCCCAAAATACCATGGCAATTTCATGGTATATGTCCGAAAAAATATGGTAGAACCATGTTAAATTATCAAATACCACAGTACTACCACAGTTCACATCAAATATCATGGTACATGTTCATAACCATGTGGTGCATGTCTAAAATGCTGTGGTAGTACAATGGTAAATGTCAAAATTCCACAGTAATACCATTGTAAATGTCCAAAATACCACAGCAATACTATGGTAAACATCCAAAACGCCATGATAATATCATGGTGCATGTACAAAATACTATGGTAAAACCATGGTACACATCTAAAATGCCACAGTGATACCTTGACCCAAAATACCATGGTAATTTCATGTAATATGTCCAAAAAAACACAGTAATACCATGGTATACATCCAAATGGTAATACCACTATACTGTCCAAAGGATAATACTGTGCATGTTTTGCATGTTTAAAATGCCATGGTGATACCATTGTACATGTCCAAAACAATGTAATACTATGATACACATCCAAACCGGCAAGATAATATTATGGTGCACATCCAGAAATACCACAAAAATAACACATGTCCAAAATACCATGATAGTGCCATGGTGCCCTTATGTTCATGTCCAAAGGATAATACTGTGTTGCATGTTTAAAATACCTTGATAATACTATGGTACACATCTAAAATATCATGGTGCACGTGCAAAACACCATGGGAAATGGCCAAATTTACACAGTAATACCATGATGAAACTTTCTGGAACTTTTTTGTAAGTCTACCATATTCATACCAGGGTTCTTTGGCCATGGTACCACGGTACATTACTGTAAGGAACTGAGCGTGCGCAGATGTCAGATGAGGTATTTTAAATCTGTAATGTGGGGAGATGTGCAGATGAAACTCCATTACCTGAAGCTCATTGAGAGCGGCTGACTCATCACACTTCTCCTGCGCATGAAAGGCCACGCTCATCAAATCCCTCCACGTCATGCTGATTTTAAGGATAAATGCTAACAATGGACTCAGTGAATGTTTTGTGGTGAAACCAGGAGGGGACGGGACGTTTGTCAAAAGCAGCAGAACGTCCTTGACGATAAAATGTAAATCTCAAGGTGGTGCCATGTCGAACGGTTCGTAAAAATACATAATTCATCCGCCTCACTTCAGGATGTGATTATATGTATTACACATTTAATGCATGTAGAAGCTGCTCTTCAAAGGTTCATCGCCACAGTCAAAGCAGTTGGTAATACGACAAATGTTTTTTTCCCCTCTTTGTTTGCCACTTTTTCCATTTTCCTGCTCCTCCTCAATCTCTCCATCCAATTTTCAAGGATATTAGAACTCAATTTGGATGCAAGATGGCGTTTGCATTGAGTTTGAGGGTTTCAATTTGTAGCTTTCATTAACTGAAGAGGGGACGCCACTTTGAAACCAACGCTATCAAATTCCTGAGAATATTTACGACGCTCAAAAACATTTGGTCGCTGAAAGTCGACTCAAACGCACACATTTGTACATGCGATCGAATGCAAACGCACACAAACCAAACGCCTT